AGGCCTCTGCCGTTTGCAGAGTCGCGACGCCAAAGCGTCCCAAAGCGCTCGACAGCTCGCCGGCCGTTTATTGAAACGGTTCTTTGAAGCCGGCTGTGCGTGCGCGGCAAACGCTTCAGAAAGAACTAAGCTAAGCGTGGTGTGGCCGTACGCAGAAAACCTAGTGCGGTGGCTTCTATAAGGGGAATTTCCACGTTCTCAGTCGGAAAGTGGGTTCGGGTATTTAATAGCCTCCCCCGACAGTGTTTATTGGAACCAAACGTAAAAATCCCCCCCTCCAGAAGTCTTAGTGGCCAGTTCCAAGAAAGCTATTTACATTTTTGCCCTGTTTTCTCTATGAAACAGTACTTCGGCAAAGACAGTCTTTAGGAAGGGCATCGCGTGACGTGCAAGACCTACATACTTGGGTTTAGGGAACTTCATATTTAACAGGTTTTTAGAAATTGGATTCGAGAAGATGCAGTAAAGGAAAACAATCAGTAATACACGTTAACAACCTCACTGCTCTCAGAGTAATTGAAACTGCTGTGTATGTCAGTATTAACCTAAGTGCTTTTTTCCGCATTTATCGGGACTGTTTCCCTAGGAAATACTTAACTCTGCTTGAGAAGGTTCCAACGCTTAAAATATTTGGGTATTCTAGTTTTGCACTGAAAATTTGTTTAAAAATGTTTTTCTTTAAGTCTTTAAAAAGTACAACATAAAAATGGCTTCGAAGAGAGCCCTGGTCATCCTGGCCAAAGGTGCGGAGGAGATGGAGACGGTCATCCCTGTGGATGTCATGAGACGCGCAGGGGTAAGGCTCCTGCTGTTTTCTAGCCCTCCTTGCAGATCATGTTGAATAAAACAATATCCAGAATATACTGCAGATAGAAACAGCACCACCTACCGTGATTACATAATGCTAACCTGTTTATTCACTGCCTGTGTTTAATACACATTTTGCCGTTTAGACCAGTTTTTCCTTCCTTCCCTCCCTCCCTTGCTGTCCATCCTTGAGCTAGTGTCTCCCTGTATGGCCCATGCTAGCCCTGGACTCAGACAATCCTCCTGTCTCAGCCTGCCATAGCTGGGACCACCGGTGTGTACCCAGCCTCAGATCCGTTTCTTAAAGAAACACACTCAGTACTAGGAAAAAAGGAGACAAAAGTGCACCTGAAGTTGCCATTGTCACTTTCTCCAATGCTCAGCCCCTCCTCATATGAGTGCGTCTGGCCCTGCCCTTGGCCTGTGGGTCCCACTCTAAGTGTTTAGCTGTGTCGTCATATGGTGCCCTTCCATGTACAGCACAATAGCAGGCACTTCCGTGGCACGCACTCCGTGCCAGGCTGCACTCCAAGCACTTCTACAAACCCTGCCACAATCCTGTGACTTAGATTCTGCACACACACACACACACACACACACACACACACACACACAGTTGAGGCATCTGAGGCACAGAGATACTGATTTGAGAAGAGCCAGATCATTGACCCAGGCAATCTGTTCCCAGTCTGTTTACACTTTGCTGGTTCTCAAAAATCAAAGTCTACTTTCTTAACATTGCTGCTCAGTTGTGTATTCTGTGAATGTGCCATGTCCCATCTATTCTCTTGACAGCCTAGTGACACTGTAATACATTTTGGGTTTTTTTTTTTTTTTTTGCTTTTGCTGCTCAAGATTGAACCCAGAGATTTGGGCATGCTAAGCACACACCATACCACTGAGCTGGGTCTCTGACCCAGAAATACTCATAGACAGCTTTATTGGTGGAAATGTATCTGACTTTTTTCAGGTTCTGTACCTAAAAGTGGAATTGTAGGCCCAGGAATAGATGTAATCAGCATTGGTAGATTTTGCCAAGTTGCCTTCCAATGTAAAACAATGCGTACTCCAGCATTTGGAAATGAAAATTTCCTGTTTTCCGGGATCACCTCTTTGTATCATTACCTTTTTTAACATTTGCAAGATAGAGTGGTGAGTTATTGTTTTAACTTGCATTTCCACCTTAGGAAGCCAGTGTTAGGTTTAAATGGCCACAGTGACCTTACAGGATGGGTTATTAATAGGGTGACTGTAACTTATCTCTCAAACCAGCACTCTTTTGAGAGGAAGGGCGTGGAACAGGGACAGACCTAGTTAGTAGCATAGTAGCATAAATTCGTTGTGGTTTTGTTGCAGTGTTTCCTGCCGAATTATTTAAAAATGCATGTAAACTATGAAAATGTCAACTTTTACCATTTGTGTTTTGGCATCCCTAAATGTCACGATGTCTTTCTTTTAGATTAAGGTCATTGTTGCAGGGCTGGCTGGGAAAGACCCAGTACAGTGTAGCCGTGACGTGGTCATTTGTCCTGACACAAGTCTCGAAGAGGCGAAAAAGCAGGTGTGTTCTCTGTACTTGATGTGCTTCCTTCACGTGGCTCTGCGTTAGGTTCTGGCGTGGTGAAGACTGTCATGAGCACAGACTTACTTAGACACTGACTTGGTTTGGGAGTCTCCCCCGTGGCTCTGGGAGGGCAAGGACTTTGCCGCCCTGCTGTGTCCATGGGTCTTAGTGACTGCTGGGTACCACGTGTGCTCAGTAAACAGTAAACAGCAGCAGGGTAGGGGGCTGGGCAGGGCTTAGGAGGGGGCTCGGTCTGTCTTTGATATTCTGGCTTACAAAGGCATCCTTGCTTCCTATGGAAATGTTTGTTTGTTTATTTATTTATTTATATCCTGATATAAGAATCAGCTGCCCCATTTGCCATTTACTTTTTATTCCTATTTTTAGTCTTTTATTTTTTATTTTGAGACAGCATCTCACTAAGTGACCCAGAGTGAGCTCAACTTTAACAGTCCTCCTGCCTCAGCCTCCCTGGGTGCCAGGAATATAGATATGCACCACCACATCCAGCCCTTAATCCTATTTCTGAAGCTACTTTTTACCTTTCCCCTTTGAGGGACACAGAGTAGATGGGTGACTCATTTGACAGGGAACAACTCATACTTGATTAGTGGTTGGATTAAGGAGGGCCTGGACTACATAGAGAGAACCTGTCTCCAAAAAAAAGTTTTGTAGAAATTCTCAGAAATACATAACAGTGAGAAATATGGAGCACAATAAAGAGAATAGTGCTTTAAAAAAAAAAAGAAAGGAAAAAAACCCTGTCCCCCTATTAAAGCATGTGCCCACCCAGAGCATCGGCCTATGCCTGTGATCCCAGCTACTTTGGAGCCCAGGCAGGAGCATCACCAGTTAAAGGCCAACGTGCAGAGTTCAGTAAGACCCTGTCTTCAGAAGCCAGGAATGAACCAGGTGTGGTGGTGCACACCTGTGATCCCAGCATTGGGGAGGCTGAGGCAGGAGGATCGCCAATAGTCAGAGGTTAACCTGGGTTATACAGTGAGTCCAAGGCCAGCCTGAACTCTGTAGTGTGATCCTGTCTCCAAAAAAAAAAAAAAAAAAAAAATGGATTAAACAAAAATTGAATGACGGTCTTAGTCTTGCAGGCTGATGGATGGTCTCTTGGGGGCCCTTTCCTCAGCAGCAGGTCCGCTCACCCCTGTGTGCACCCTGTCTCAGGGTCAGGCATAGCAGGCTGGGATATCAGGAGGGGCTGTGTCATCTGGGGACAGAGACATGGCAGCTCCCAAGGGCTGTGGTTGCCCTGCTGGAGTCGAGCAGGGTCCTCTCTGGGCTGTCCTCACAGGTGGGGAAAGTTTGCTCCTCCCCATGGAGAGCAAGCATTGGGTTCACACCAGAATTCTTCAAACTTCTAAACAGCATGTTAGAAGCACAAAGTAGAAGTAAATATTCCCTTTATTCGTTCTTTGTCCAGCAGGGTCTGGGGTTTTAGATCAGTGGTTACCTTTTGTAGGTGTCTGTTACGGTCATATTCTAAAAGGAGGGCCGGGGATATAGCACAGTGGTGATGCACCTTCCTCACAAGCGCAAGGTCCCGAGTTTGATTCCTGGTACCAAAAAAAAAAAGAAAATTCTAAAAGGAGTGAAAGAAATTCATCCTTCACACATTTTCTATTTTGAGTTTTGCTTGATTTTAAAACAAGCATGGGATATTTGTGACCTTAAGTAATTAAAAAAAGTACATGTTGTACTAAACTTACACACTAAATTTGTATTTTACTTAATGACTAAATTTTTTAACATCTTTAAGTAAAGGCGGTTTCTGTTTTCAGCAAGCTCGAGATGAGGTTATTTAGGATGTTTTGGTGTTTGAGACACTTAAAATATTGTATCATTTCTTTTTCTTCCCTCACCAAGTTCTATTTAAAGTTTAAAATCATTTTCCTATGCTTTTTACTTAAAATTTCTCCTAGTTTTAGAAATTGCTGCCTAGACCCCTATTGCAGGACAATTCCTGCAGCACAGATGTAAATGTAAAGTCTGGCAGGTGAGCGTCCTTTTCTCCTCTCCTCCACCCCACAGTCAGATGTCCCCTAGTCTGTGCGAGTTTGTGCACATGCGTGTGGGATGATGTTTATGTGCATAGCACATCTGTATACAGTATGTATAGTTCTGTCTTTTTACGAGTACAACATGGGCTCATTGTGTTGCTCAGGCTGGACTTGACCTCCTAGGCTCAGGCTCCTGCCTCAGTCTCCTGAGTAGATAGGACTATAGACACACAGCACTGCACTCTGCATATTTTTGTCTTTTTATAAGAGTGTGATTATTATTACACTTGATGCTTTGCAACATATGACTGTATTCAGATTTTCTTCATTTTTTTGCTGATTATAAGAACATCCCATCATTGGGACACCTCAGCAGTCTTCGTTTGGTGGTGGTGGTGGCGGATTTTTGGTGCTTGGTTGAACCCTTGGCCTCCTGATGTTCGAGCATGTGCTTTGCTGCTTCCTAACTGTTCTTTTGACAGGTACTTAGATTATCTCCTGTGTTTTGCTTGTGATTTAAACACAAAGTGTTCAGACTGCCGCTTCCATGCACATTTGAAACTGAAGTGTTCTCTTCGTGTCCTGCACTGTCCCAGGGCCCCTACGATGTGGTGGTTCTCCCCGGAGGCAACCTGGGTGCGCAGAATTTATCTGAGGTAAAATCCCCACTCTGTTCCCATCCTGGACTTGGCGGGCGGGCAGGCAGGTGCTGGAGAGCCATAGCATGAGCTGCGTGCTATGTGTCGGTTATTATCCAACAGCTCAGGCAGGAGGCTGCGAGCAAAAGAGGAGCTCGGAAGTTACCTGAGTGATGTTCTAGCCTTGTTTCCAGAAAACAGTTCAGTAACCTTTACCCTGGAAGGAAGCTGAACCGTGGATCAGAAAGTGTGAAGGGTTCGGTGCACACAGGAGAGGACTTGCTCCTTCCCCGGTGGTGGAAGAATTGCCAGTTGTGTGAGGGGTCAGTTTAGAGCCGAAGCCAGGCCGAGGGACTGCAGGTGTCAGCCAGAAGGTGGCATCCGCGTGGGTCACAGGCCTTCCTTGGGGGGCTTCGGGGCAGGTGGCTGGGAAGGGTCAGACGTGCCCGGGAACCGCGTTCCCTTGCTCGCCCTTAGATGCCTTCTCTTAGGATGAGTGCCGGCTGGGGTTCAGTCTAGACACAGATCTGGTGATCTGATGAGTTGGCGATATTTTTGAAAAGTAGTTGAAGCTGTTGTGGTTTCTGCCAGTGTCCCCACTGTAACTGGCTGTGTTTTGCTTTCTGTGCCCAGTCCCCGGCTGTGAGGGAGATCCTGAAGGAGCAGGAGAGCAGGAAGGGCCTCATCGCCGCCATCTGTGCAGGTAACCGGGAGCTCCTCCCCCGGAAGGCCCGGGGCACCTGCGCGGGTCACTTGTCTCTGCAGCCAGCCCTGTTGCTCCACTTTCTGCCTCTCTGTGCCCTTTGCATTCCGTGAAGCCGACTGTTTTGGGTGTTTGACCCCGGAGGCCCTCAGGAATTCAGTAAACAGCTTGTTCCAGCAGATCTCGCTGCCAGGAAGCTGTCTGCCAGCACAGCAGTCAGCAAGAGCCCAGCAGACATAAACATGACCGCCTGCCCTGTGCTTGCCCTGCCTCCCTCTTCTCAGTGCTCAGTCCCAGGCCCATCATTTAGTGTGAGGTGTCCTTGTGCTTCAGAGATGTCCTCGTGTCTGAGCTCAGTCACACTCTGTTTTCTGGTGCCTTTTGAATCCGTCCTGTGCCCTTAGTGTCCTCATTGTCCGTACATCAGAGTTTTAAAGGAAGTTGTGGGCCGGGGACTGCAAGTCCTGGCGGGGTTAGAGCAGGCAGCACCTGGGGCTGCGTGCCGGGGCCTTGACAGTGCCGCAGGACCAACCTTGGGGCTGGAGCTGTCACCCGAGCTCTGGCATCTCATGCTTAAGACACACCATTCTGGGCTGGGGTGTAGCATGTGGACAGTGTGAACTCAACATACGTGGGGCCCTGGGCTCTGGCCCCAGCACCCTTCCCGCAGCATGCCCGGGTCTCATTCTGACGGCAGAAAGGACAGGATCCAAGGCCTCTGTGTTTGTGAAAGGCTACGTTAGGGTCCGAGGAACCCAGTAGCCCCTTGCCATGCCTGGGGTCCGGGATTTCTCTGTCAGGCTCTGCCCTTCATTGGGCACAGTCTTGATTAGTTTCTGCCTGGTGTGCTGCTGGAGAACCAGCCTCCTTCCAGATGCTACCACCAAAGGAAGAAAGTAAGGGTTTCTTGGGTTGCTTCCCTAACAATCCTGTCAAAACAAAGACCACGGTCATTTTGTCCCTGTTGTCCCTGATGTCCCTGAGATAGCAAGGTTGCCATCCTGTGCCCAGGCAGCTGTGGCCATGCTGAGGACCTGGGCCAGGCTGGAGCTGAAGCAGGCAGGAAGAAGAAAGGACGCTTGTGGCGTGTTGGCCCAGTGCCTGCCCAGTGCTGCCGCCCTGGCTCCTGCATAGGAACTGGGAGGAGAGGGGGTGCTGAGGGGTGCTGGGCATGCGGGCAGTGGAGGACTGGCCAGAGCAGCTAGGAGATAGTCAGCCATGGCCATTGGCTGAGTCTTCTGTGTCTTGCAGTGGGAATGGGGAAACAGTTCTGCACTCAAAAGAACGTCAGCCCCCGACATTGAAGAAATTAGAGACAAATCAGAAGGGAGGCTTTTCTGAGTAGAAAATAGAATGAGCTTGCTTTTGCTGGAGGAGCCACTGAGGTTGGAAGCTGGGTCCAGGAAGCTTACCAGTCTGGGCTGCCTGCAGGAGCTGCGGAGTCAGCAGGGTGCTGTTTTCCCCGTGTCTGCGGGGTGGCACTGTGGGGCAAGGGTTCTGCCAGCGCTGGCTCCGGAGGGCCTGTTCGTGCATCAGAACCTGAAGGGTCTCGAGCTCCAAGTCTGACTCCAAACAGGGCTCTTAGGCCGCAGCATGCAGCACCCACAGGTGAGGGCCCCGGTGCATCCCTCCTCCAGCTGTAGGTGGCGGCATTACCACCTTGAGGGGAGCAGCCGAGGGCCTCCCTTGCGGGGGTGCACTCCTCACTGAGGTTCAGGGTGAGGGTGAGGTGCTGTTCAGATCGGGGTTCAGATCTTGGTAAATGCCATTCCGTGCAGCAGCGGTGACGTGGATTTACTCCCCTACACGGCTGTCCCTCCGAGGAGGGGGAGGCACATGTTGGAGACAATGGAGATCGCCCCTATCCGGACGGGGTCTGAGGCGGGCACTTCCTGCCCCGAAGAGTGAGGCCCCCAGTCTGTGCCGCTGTCTCCTCAGAGTCCGGCCAAGGTCCTCAGGTTGCTGAAGCCATAGGCGCCTGTGCCAGCGCACAGAGGGCCACGGTGCTCTTGTCCCGGTGCAGCGTGAGCCCAGGGACTCTGGTGCCTGCAGCTGAGAGAAGACGCAGTGGCTCATTTCCGACAGCCGAGGGTAACACTGCGGTCTTCTGACGGTGGTCTCAGGACTTACTTGCAGCACCTGTTGTGGGTATCTGAGGTTGGCCCTTTCCAGTGAATATGTTTGGGTACAAATCTTGGCTCCAAGGCCTTCCTCTTGGGAAGCGCGGCAGAAGGTACCACAGCTGACATTTCTGCAGCCTTAAGTCATTTTAGGAAAGTGACTCGTGCCTTTGTTTCTCAGACTTCAGCACTCATTCCCCAAGTTTCTCCTTCCGGGTGGTGCAGTGGGATGCTGTCCTAGTAACCCTACCAGCGGGTATATTTGGGGGATGGATGTTTGTCTTCCCCTTTCAGTTAGGAAGGTACAATTGTAAAAGCGGCAAAATGCAGCAGTTCAGAGGGCGCTGGTTGCCTGTGCCGCGTAACTGATGCTGTCCTTGTGCCAAGAACAGGTTAGGAGCCGCCCCAGCTGCGTCCTCCCCTCCGCGGGGCCGCACTTCCGGCCGGGCATGCTGTGCAGCCAGTGTGAGTGATGGCACGGCTTTGATGAAATGGTGTTGAGGTATTGTGGGTTCGCACAAAGCTCTGCCAGATGTGTTCAGCAAGTGGCTTATAAAAATATTCTTCTGCTGCAGAGTGTTTAATCTCAGAAGCATCACTTCGGATAAGAGCCTCCTGATTTGGAAGAATGCTTTTTCTGTGCAATTTCTAAAGTATGGGTTTCTCTGTATCTACGCTCAGATCTTTTTACTGCTCTTATTTTCAGGTCCCACGGCTCTGCTGGCTCATGAGATAGGCTTTGGGAGCAAAGTGACCACGCACCCACTGGCTAAGGACAAAATGATGACTGGGAGTGAGTACACGCTTATGTTTCCGGAACCCTCCTTGGGCGCCGTCTCTGAGCAGGGCTCCCCAGAGGCGCCCTCCGGGCTCAGCCTGGCTGGCGTGGGGCACCCACCCCACTGTCGCGGATGGAAGGCGATCGTCCAGCACCAGTTTAATCAGTGTTCATTCTGAACACTTTGCCAGCAGCCTAGGGTACATTTTCGACCCCAACAGCAGATTTAGAAGGTGCCTTTTACCCGAAGTCCAGAGAAAAGGCCCGAGTATGAGCACGGTCTGTACCCTGCGGACATGATGCCCTGACATGTACCATTGAGGCCTGCGGAGTTCATTAATTACCTTTATAAAAAGCACGTTCAGTTTACTCGTGTGAAACCTGCGAACAGTGCAGAAGGATCGGCGGGAACAGCTGTGCTGTTCCCTCCCCTGCCATCCCTCCTGTCAGAGGTAATGTCCATGAAGTGTCTCATAGAGCTCTAGAACTTTCTCTGCACTTGCTGCACTTCTTTTTTAATATTTTTACTCAGATGAGGTCTACTAAGAGCACTGTTCTGCACCTTGCTTTTGTTTTCGAGATGGGTTCTCACTGTGTTGCCCAGCCTGGCCTTGACCTCTTAGACTCAAGAGATCCTCCTGCCTCAGCCTCCTGGGAGCTGGGTGAAAGGCATGTATCATCACGCACAGCTGTGGCTTGCCTCTTTTATCTTAGAAATGTTTTTGCCAGCTTATTGGGCTGTGGCAGGTCCCTAATCTCTCAGAGCCTCCGTTTCCACACGTGTCATTGCTGGGCTCAGGGAGCCAACATGTATGATGTGCTTGAATGCTGTGTGGCCGTGGACCTGAGTGGGAAGCAGGTGTTACTCTTGCTGCCACCATGAGGGGCTGTCCCTGGGCCTGAGGAGGACACAGGGTAGAGGCTGCCCTCCCCTGGCTACTATCTCTAGTGACACTAGGGAGTTAGGAGGCTCAGAGCTGCTGAAAGGCAGAGCTGGGATTTGAGCTGGGAAGCGCCGTGTTCAGGGGCGGCCAGCGTCTCCCAGGACTTCAGTCTGAACCGCTGCTAGCTGTCAGCTCCAAAGTAAACAGATTGGAGTGGCTTCGTGCCAATAAAACTTTATTGACAAACCCAAGTAGTGGAAACAAAAACAAGTAGCAGCCTTTAGTCACTGACCCCTTTGTCCCTAGCGGTCCCACTAACTTTTTCTCCTAAGAGATTTCCTGGTTTTGGGATTTTTGTCTAAAGCTTTTTTTTTTAAAAAAAAAGTCATGCCTCATGCTGCTTTGAGCGAGGTATAAATAGTCATTTTGCCCTGTGGGGGCCCATGAGGCTGACTTTGGGGTTTCCCCTTGCAAGGCGGTTCTTCATCACTGCCACTAGGTGGCGCAGTTGACAAATGTAAACCTCTTTAAGGTTAGATTTTTTTGGGGGGGGGTACTGGGGATTGAATTTAGGTCCTTGAGCTTGCAAGGCAGGCTGCAGAACCAGTGAGCTAAATCCCCGGCTGGGTTAGATTTTTTAGAGAGCTTTGAAACCCATGTGGCCCGTTTCCACCCTGTCTGTAATGTTTTACCTGCAGAGCTGCTGCCAGGTGAACCTCCGACCGGGCCTGACCTTGCCTGGTCCCCCACGGCCTGCCTCCTGCCCAGGAGGCCCAGCCCAGTGCCTTCCTAGTTTAGTTCCAAGACTTGCCCAGGTTTGGCCATCAGGTGAGGTGAGGTGAAGAAGACAGTGTCCCTTCCAGCCAGGGTGTTGCTTGTCCCTGTAGTAGCATAAGCAGGACACTTTGGGCATTTTAGGGAGATGGTGAGAGGTCGGCCACCGTGGGCCCTGGGAAAGGAGCCTGAGGAGGGTGGGATTCCGCAGCACATCACTGCCCTTGGGCCAGACAAGCGCAGAGCAGAGCAGCGCCTGAGTGGGAATGGGCGGGCCTGTGCCCACATCTGTGCCCGGTGTCCTGGGAGTGCTCACCGCTCGGGGCCACTGTTGCCATCACCCACCGCAGGAGTCCAGCTCGGGCTGCTCTGGCTCCTCCCTACCTCCCTGTCGAAGCTGCCCCGGGGTCCATTCCCGTTCTGTCCTGGGACAGATCCCAGGGGCTGGTGCGGCAGAGGTGGAGTCAGGATCCCCTGTGCAGCAGGGATGTCAGGCGCCCAAGGAAGGGGAGCAGGTTGGGCCTCAGAGTGCAGACAGCCTGCTGGGAGCAGGGGGGGAGTGGTGGGAGGCTGAGTCAGGAGGGCCCCTTGAGTGCCCCCTTGGTGCACCCAGGGCTGGGCCAGCGAGGCTGAGGCAGGGCCGCCTTCTGGGCCTAGCTTCCTTTTGGGCCTGGCCACCCAGGGAGGTGAAGGTTGGCAGAGGGTCGTGTGTGGGAAGGTGCTTGGAGGAGCCCCGTGGGTCCTGAGGCCTCTGGGAAGTGACTGGCCCCGCGGAGACAATGCTAGCACTGCCTGTCCACACGCAGCCACCTCTCTCTGCCACAGGTCATTACAGCTACTCGGAGAGTCGTGTGGAGCGGGACGGCCAGGTGCTCACCAGCCGCGGCCCAGGCACCAGCTTCGAGTTCGCGCTGGCCATCGTGGAGGCGCTCAGTGGCCCAGAGGTGGCGCAGCAGGTGAAGGTGCCACTCGTGCTGTGTGACTAGAGCCGGCAGAGGGACACGCAAGCCCTGACCCTGTGCCTGTGTCCATGTATTTCTGAATAAAGGGGCAGCCCGCGGCTGCCCATGGCTGCTCCGTCCCTTGTGTCGTGAGATCAGGTCCAGTGTCCACTGATGGAGCCCCAGGAGAGGGGCTGTCACTGCTGTGTGTGCTGTTACAGTACTGGGGAGCCCGGGTGGGAGCGCACCCGTAACCCCAGCTTTCTGGAGGCTGAGGCAGGAGGGTCCAAAGTTCAAGCCCAGCGTCGTAGTGAGACCTTGTCTCAAGATAAAAGGGTTAGGGATGTAGTTGGTACAGAGGCCTTGGGCTCAGGCCCAGTTCTGCTACACAAAACAACAAACTCCCGATGAGGTGGGCTGTCGTGGTCGGTATTTGTGAAGCAGTGTCCCCAACCTCCCAGGGCTGAGGCACCTGCCTCCCCTTCCTCCGCTGAGTGCCCAGCACTTCTGGGAACCTGGCCCACAGCTGGAGCCTCGCCCCTGACCACGCCGTCCAGGTGAGGAGACTGGCGCCTCTGTGGGCTGCTGGTGAGGTGGAGAGGAGATGCTAAGTTGGAGCACTGGCAGCTGTCTCGTTACTGTGAGGAGGCAGCTCTGGATCCAGAGGGCAAGGCAGCTGGTAGCTGTGTAATTGCACACTTTGACGAGCAGTGTGAAAGAGTGAAGACTGCAAGGGTGAAGGAGCAGGACTGTGTCCACGTGGGACACCGACACCTGGAGTAGGTTCTCTCTGGTCAGAACTTGCTGGGGCTGGGGAGAAGCCATGTCATGTGACGGGGGAGGGAGAAAAACCTAACACTGCGTCCTAGGAAGAAGGGTGACAAGCAGGGACCAGGAAAGCCTCCCTGGAGGGACCTGGGAGTCTGCAGGAAGTACGGAGGCCTTAGGGCAGGCAGGAGCCATGGGTATGGGGGTGCTAGACGTGGTCAGGGCTCTAGGGCTGGCCCAGGAGAGGCACGGGCCTGCCGAGGACAGCTCCTACGCATGACCCCTAAACCTAGGGCCATGCAGAGTCACCATCCCAGAGTTGCTGCGGGGAGGCACAAACGGGAGTGGGTTTGGGGCCCGGGAGGGTGACTCCGGTACCTGCAGCACCTGGGGACAAGAGAACGGGCCCTGTGCCTCTGCAGGTCTGCCATCAGGCTGGCGGGGACCTGATTTCCACCCAGTGGTAGTGTGTGCAGGTCAGGCCCCTCCCTGGTTGCCCTCAGCCCCTGCCTGTGGATGAGGACAACAGCGGCAGTCAGGGTGAGTGCGCCCCATGTCGTGCATCTAAGGGAGGAGGAGGAGGTCCCCCTTACCACACCCCCAGCAGCCCCCTTCCCAGCCGTCCTGGAATTTTTGACTTTGGCCTTGTGGAGAGCAGGAGCCTTGGCCTCAACGAATGACCTGGGCCGAGAGTGCAGGTGGGACAGGATGGGGCGGAGCGGGGCCCAGCCTGTACTGGCACAGAGTTGGGGTTCTGGCATGGAGATGGGGTTGGCTGGGCCTCTGTCTCCGCCTACACCTGGGGCTACCCAAGGTCAAAGTTCACCTGCAGGATTTATTCTCTTTTGTGATTTACCTTTTTGGCAAAAGTTCATTCCTCTTAGAGACCAGAGCTGCTGGGCCACCCAGGGCCCCAGAGGGATGGCAGAGGGGTTTTGGGACCTGGTCCTACCCAGAGCTCAGCCACATGGCCATGTCGAGGGCATTCTGAGGGACAAGGTGACAGCCACTTCTGGGGGCTCTGCTGCCCCAGGCCCCGCCAGGTGGGTTTGCGAGTCTGCTGGGGTTCGTCGCCTGTTGTGTTCCTTCACGCCTTGCACGAACAGCATCTCCCAGGGCCACACCACCTCCCCCTCGCCCTCCACTCACAGAGACTCCAAAATCGCCTGCGAGCTGCACCTCCACTCAGCAGCCAGCAGCCTGCAGAGCCATTGTCTCACCGAGTGAGAAGCAGGGACCGTCTGGAGAGCTCGCCGGCCAGTCTGCTGTGCCATGGCACCGTCCTCCAATCAGGCCGCGGTCGGCAGGGGTGGGCACTCATCCCCGGGTTCCCCGCAGGGAGAACAGCAGCTCCTCCCGGAGGAGGGCGCTCCGCACTCAGCTGGGTGTCCTCAGTAAAAGCCCACCTTAGGGCCGGGGATTTAGCTCGGTGGTTCTGGTGCCTGTCTGACAAGCTCAAGGACCCGAGTTCAATTCCTGGTACCGAAAAAAGAAAAAGCCCACCTTTGTCCAGCCTTGGGCAGGCAGCCAGGGTGCCCACTCTCCCAGCTTGGGTTTGAGTCCAAGGCACCTGGCAGCACCGGGAAGAGGTGAATGAGGGCTTTGTCACCACCACCCCTGTCACCAGCAGTACCCAGCCCACTGCTGTCGCTGTGCTTACCCTTCCCATCACCATCCCCGCCACATCACCCCCACCTCCTGCTGCCCCCAGGGGCTGTTTCAGGCTCCCCGACAAGTCTGGGGCAGCACGATCCCAGAGGAAACGACGCTATGTTCCCCAAGGGCCACCTGCCTGTGGCTCCAGCACCACAGCTGTATCCCAGCCACTCCGTTCTGCCTTCTCCGTCCCACATGTGAGCGGCTGCTGAACCCCCGGCCGGGTCCCAGGCTCAGCAAAGCCATAGATTAACTTCCAGATGGAACTGGTGGTCTCCAGAGGGACAGTGGTGGCACTGGACACTGGGCAGTGTGGCGTTGACATCTGGGGGGCCGCGTCTCCTTGGATGCTGCTTTGCCCGACAGGTTAGGGTGCCACAGAAAGTGTGCCCGGCTTGGGGTCCCCTCCCCGGAGCGTGCCGTCTCACTCCATGTACCGCGGGGAGCGGGTTTCTCCCGAGGCCCTCGTCTGTCCTCGGCACCCGTCTGCAGGGTAGAGGCCTAGCACCGCCTGTGTGCTGTGCCAGAGCCAGGTGACTGGGCCTGGGGGTGTGGGGCTGCTCCGCCTGCTGGACAGAGGCAGGGTGGAGGGATGACCCAGTCCTCCCCTGCTCGGCGGCCCTCGGCTGCAGCAGCAGTGACTCAGTACAGGACTGAAACACCAAGTTCCCAGGCAAGGTGAGGTCACCGTGCCAACATTGGTCATGCTTGCATGTGTACCCGGGAGGGACAGCCACTCGGGCACTTATGCCAGAGCCGCTGACCCAGTGGCGCTGACACTCTGTCATTAGTCCAGGAGCATCAGTTTTACCACCACCTGGGCCTTGAAAGACTGAGAAATTTAATTAGACAAGTACATCGGTACCTGGGGGGAAAAGGTTCGGACAGTACAGGAACCTGTCAGGCAAGACTTGGAAAGTCTCTTTCCAGCCCTGCCTCCTGTCCTTCCTGTCCAGAAAAGTCTACTTTGGGGGTTCCCGGGTCCAGTGTCTTTCTCACAAATCTGCAAATGTGTCACGGTACAAACCCACACCCACCCTGAGATACTGTTTCATACATACACAGACTGTACTTGATAGTTTCAAAAGTTATTTTTAAACAGATAGTGGGAGCTATTATCGTGTACATTGTTTTGCAAATTGGCTTTTTTTTTTTTTCCACTCGAAACGTAGTATGTCTTGGAAACCTGCCTGTGTCAGGTCGACTTTGTTTATGTAGTAGTGGTGCAGGAATCCACAGTGCAGCTGTACTGTAACGTATTTAACTGTTTCTCCACTAAAGGATTTCCTCCCAATTAAAAAAACAAAAGTATAGCCGGGTGAGGGTGTGGGCTGTGGTCCTGGCTAGTCTGGAGGACCTCAAGGCCAGCCTGAGCAACATAGCAAGACCATATCTTTTTAAAGAAAATGGGCAAGGCCCAGGGTTCAAGTACTGTAGAAGAAGAAGGGAAAAAAATGAAGTACATTAATTCATTGTTTTTATTCTGGTAAAAATACCAATGCAGAATTTGCCATTGTTGCCATTCTGAAGTGTGCGCTTGCGTGGGATTACCGTGCTTTCCTGCATTGTGCGCCCCACTATGGTGACGCGGGACTGTGCCCTCCGCCTCCAGCGCAGCAAACCACCTGTTCTGTCTCTGAATTCGACCCCTCCACAAGACTTGCTCCAGTGGACAGTGTTGTAGGTGTCTTCTGTGGCTGGCTTATTGGACAGCTTGGTGTCCTCGGGGTCCAGGCTCTCCTGAGCTCTCGATTTTCATTTCCCCCATGACGGATGAGGCTGCCACGTTTTATTTTGGGGCTGCTGTGCATTTGTGTATCTTCATGGGAGAGATATCTCCTTGAGCCTTGTGCCCATTTCAGAATGGGATTTTGTTGATATCATTGGGTTATGACTTTTACAATTACTCAGTATTTTTAAATGTCTTACAGAGCCTGGCACGGTGAAGTGTTCCTGTAGCCCTAGCTACAGCTGAGGCAGGAGGATCTCGGAGTCCAGGGGTCGAGGCTGGCCAGCCTGGGCGAAACACAGAACTTGCCTCAAAATACAAAGTTAAAGGGCTGGCCTTGTAGCTCAGTGGAGTGCTTGGCCAGCGTGTGTAAGGCCCTGGGTTCAGTCCAAAGTACCGCTTCCACCAAAAGAAAAAGTTCTAGGACAAATTTGTGCCTACCTCTTTGAGCAGGTGTAAATATTTTTAGAGAATTCTGTGAATCCAAGGGCAGGCTGGTTTTAATGTTCATAGATATGGCCAGGCTGTTCTTTCCTTTGCCTGTTTCTTTCTGTGCTCAAGGTTACTGATTATTATCAGTTTCTTTACTTAAAAGTCCTTGTTGTGAAATAGCTTATATGCAAAGACATGATGGGAATGTGGCCCTGGCCACCGGAAATGAATGCCGTTCGTCTGACCCAAGGGCTTTCTTGGCTGGCACCTGGGAGCTGTTCCGCTTGATGCCTTCCCAGCGCGCAGCGGCCCACCCATCACCAGAGCTCGGCTCAGACGTGCGTGCGCAGCGGCTCTTCAGCGAACCTTTGTCTTGGGCCACAGTTTTTCTTTTGTTTCATGGGCCCTTTGATGCCCTTATGCAGCCTTCAGACTCCTTCTCAGAGCAGTATCTTAAAATGTATAAAATACACTGGACTGCAAGGAAATGAATTCTTTTGGAATCAGGTTTCAAAACATTTCAATCCAGTGTCGCAGGCCGCCCTCTGAGTCCCTGAGGTGTACAGGACACCTGGGCTGCTTTGGCTCCTACCAGGAACAGAGTCAGTGTGTCCAGTCTCAGGCACGGGCCTGTGGGCCTCAGCTCGAGATGTACTGAATCCTTAGAGCAGTCTGGAGAAAGTGTTTTTGTCATACTGCAGTCTGCTGGTACCCTTTCCATTGCCAAAGGTTGTTTTGTTTTCGGTTTGAGCCACACTGGGAGGCAGAGCTTGGGGTACTGTACCACTAAGCTCCACATCAGCCCTTTTTATTTATTTTGAGACAAGTTCTTGCTAAGTTGCTCAACCTGGTCTCAAACTTGTGATCCTCCTGCCTCAGCCTCCTAAGTAGCTAGGATTACACGTGTGCGCCCCCCACACCTGGCCATTTAGCTCTTTTAAAATAGCATTAGTTATTATCATTTGTCAGAAGCTTTTCCTCCCCTTCCCTTACATTTGTGAAGAACTAGAATTGTCTATTGTTTACTATTAAATGAATTTGCCTCCATATCTCCCTGGTCTGGTGTATTGTGGTGAGATTTCTTTGTATTCAGCAGAAAATGATACAACATCAAGTTAATCATCTTTAAGCCCATCATTCAGGGGCATTTAGTACAGTCACAGTGCTAGGCCAGGGTCACTTGTAGTTTGAAGACATTGTTACCACCCCACCTGGCCCGCTTTCCTAACCCCTGGTAACCTCTAGTCTATGTTCTGTCCTCATGGAGTCATCTCTCTCGATACTGCACATAAGTGAAATCATCCAGCATGTGAGACTTAGCCACAGAGTGTCACACATCAGACTCCTTCCTGTTCAAGGCTGAATAGTACTCCTCCATCCATTTATCCACTTCGGAGAGCTTTACGGCAATATTCGTTCATACAATAGAATGAGGAGGAAAAAGATACTTCTACAAGCAAAACTCCTCACAAGCATATTACCGAGCAAAAGTAACGAGACGAATACTACTGTATGATTCCATTTCTAGAAAGTTTAAAGATGGGCAGATTAATCCACTGGAAGTCAGGGGCCGGCTGCCTGTGGCTTGAGCGGTGATGAGCTAGGAGGTCAAGAAAGGAGGGGTTTTGGGTTATCGTAAGGTTTTTCTTGATCCAAGTCCTGGTTATCATGTGTTCATTTTGTGAAAATTCATTGACCTAGGCATTTTTGACTCACTTACTGTTTGTTTTCTACGTACACTACTGTTCAGCAAAAGGTAATTTCAACGAAAGAATGTATATTTGTTAATCATGGGTCATTGTTTATTCATTTTACCAGCTTGATGATGCTGCTGGGTAAATCATCTTGTTTCTACCCTTATTTTTTTATTTTTTGGTACCAGGACTTGAACTCGCAGGACCTTGCGCTTGTGAGGCAGGCGGCGGTGCCACTGAGCTACACCCCTGGCCCTCCTTCCTTTTCTCCTGTGGTCTGATCTGTGAGGTCCTGGAGACTCATCCACTGCAGTGGTGGACTTCTCACAGCCCCTACACCCTTGTGTTGCTTGCCTTGCGGTATAGGGTTAGCTGCACCCAAGCTTGCAGTCACTGTCTTCCTGTGACTTTTTCGTCTTTTTCCCCAGTGCTGAAGATCAGAGCCAGCATCTCGCCCATGCCAGGCCATTGCTGCGCCCCTGAGCTCCACTGAGAGCCCCTGAACTTTTTATCTCCGATTTTTGCTTTGATGTCTGTTTGGTCTGTGTAGTTCCTAAACTGCTTTTGGGGGAACTATTTTTTAGTCTGTTTCTGTGCCTTTGGTTTTTATCTTGGGGGCACTTCCTGTGAGGAGAATTCAGCTGAGGCCGTGTGCCCCGATCGTATGTGCACCGGACTGTCGTCTGCCCCCTGCTCCCGCCGGCTGCAGCCGAGAATTCACAAGCCCGCTGTTCTTTGTAAGTGCTGTGGTTCCCCACTCTGGCTACTTGGAATATTTCCTTCGTTTGGTGTCTTGCAGTCTCCTTGCAGGTTGGCTGTTTTTTTCCCCCTCCTCCTTCCCGTCCTTTTCATCTGTTGAGCTTTATTGGGCTTTCTGGAGTTAAGCCTTGGAATATTCCCACAGTTCTAGAAAATTCTCAGCTGTTGTCTTCACATACCCTCTTCGTGCCCTCCGGCCTCTCCCTGCTGGAGGTGTGACTTGCATCTTCACTTGTCTGTCCGTCCCGTCTCTTCTCTCTTAGGTTTTCCACTCATGTCTCTTTGTGCCCCGTTCCGGGAAGTGTCTCCAGATCCAGCATCTAGTTTGTAATTCGTAGGCTGATCCCCTTCTGATGGCCTCGCACCCACTGATGCAATCCATTTAATGAGTATAGAGACATTTTACGATGTTCTCTTCTTTTTGAGTCTATTTTCTATGCACATATTTAATCATGTTAAGCACACTTATTTGATGTTCTGTGTCTGACGATTCGAAAACCTGAAGTCTCTGCAGTTGTCTGCTGTCTCTGACCCTGGTGCTTTGTTCCCCTGTGTATTTGGTGGGTTTTCTTGGAAAGTGTTTCTTTTTTTTTTTTTTTTATTTTTTTGGGTTTTCTTGGAAAGTTTTTTTTTTTTTTTTTTTTTTTCACTCTGTAGGGATCCTGTGGGGTCTGGACTGAAGTTGAGCTCTTTTTGAGAGTGTGCATTTGCTTCTGACAATTGCCTGTCATCCTAAGACATGTGAGCACACGCATGCACATGTGTGACAGGACCTGTATCGGTTCCTGGGTTCTGAGCCGGAAACAGAACCAGTCTCAGTATTTTAAGTAGAGAGGGGTTTTTCACGGGGAGTCAGGTGCGTTTCATAAAATCCCTGGGAGACCGGAGGAGGGGAGTCAGGAGGCCTCCCCTGGAACAGCTGAGCTCAAGTGTGCATATCTGTGATCTGGATTTGGACCAGAGAAGCGGGTTTGCCAGTGCAGCGTTACCACAGCAACCGCATCTACCTACAGCGTGTGCCGGACCTGAGCTGCCGAGTCCGGTGGGCTGCCCTGTTCCTGCACGCATGGCTGTGTGATCTTGGTGGCAACAGAGAGATGGCCTCTGCCCCACTCTGCTTGCCAGAGCCCTGCAGACCCGTGGTGGGCAGAGTGTGCTCCACACCGGGCATGCTGCTAGGTCTTTTCTATCCTCTTGTTTCATCTGTGGCAGGCACTACCCATGGGCTACTGAGTACTCATTTCAAGTGCCCTTCTCTCATCTATTTTCACTATAAAAGCTTGGGGTGACCATCCTCTTTTGCTGTGTGACCCAGAATTGTTGAGTGCTCTGGAGAATTCTTTGGTTTTCCTGGAAGAGGGCAGTGTGACCAGTGTTGCTACATTCCTCTGCCTGCCTTCCATGTGGATGCAATGCCTGGATCCTTGGCAGCTATTCTGTGACCAAGAACAGAAAGCCAAGTGAAGTGCTGAGACACCAGACTTGTACTACTGAGCCAACACCAGCAACCCTGTGCTTCCAAGAGAAACACATGTGCCTTCCTAGGCTACTGTTAAACTGATGCTTCTGTTACTTTACTCAAAAGTAATCCCAACCAATGTAAAAATTTCTTTTCTTTTTTTTTTTTTTTTGGTACTAGGGATCAAACTCAGGACCCTTGTACTTGCGAGGCAGGCAGTGGAATCACTGAGCTACATCCCTGGCCTACATTTATCTTCTGTGAATAACATAGAGATTGGCTGTTAGTCTGAAAATCTGAGTCTAAATAGGAATATGACTGATTCCCCTTTTGTGGATTATTACCATGTT